TTAAACAATGCTTAATGTACAGACAACGACATATCAACTCACATAATGTATAATATGGCCTTTGGTAGACCAAAAAATATAGAGAAATATTGGTGTTACCGTATAGACGATGGACGCATTAGGGGAATAAAAGATAAGTATTATATTTGTCTAGGTGACCTTCATAACTAAATAGGTATTTCATTTTCGTTTCAAAATTTTGCAAACTTTTAATGTTCAAACTTAAATRATTGCGCATTGAATGATTTATGAAAATGTTAGTATTACATACTGAATTATATCTTCAACATGATAACAGCAATGATATTATTCTGTTGCCTGTTGGTATGATAACTAGGTAGTAAGGTTATTTTCCAAGATTACAGCGTATTAATAGATTTCGCTTCTCTTAAACGCTTAAAAAATTTTTAAAACAATTTAAATCCTTACTATAAAAGTAAATACAAACAAATACACATAAATACAAAATATGAATCTAAGTGTCAAATACTGCTCAGTGCTCATTCCTGTATAGCCTACCAGTCACACCAAAAGGTAGAATCATTAACCAGGAGACAACCAAAATTCGTAGCATACCATATTATTATTACCACCGATACGAATGATGCATTCTTATTTAATAGTTATGAATTGTTAGGCATTATTAATACACTGGGATAATTTCAAAATTAAATATGTATTTCAGACTTCAATAATGGTTTTATAGAATATTGTTTTGAGGCGTATAAAATATAGACGGGTTTGTAGAAAACTGATTAGTATGTTATAGTTATACGACTGTGCTTTTATCAAATTTACTGGTAAATATACTAATATATGCAGGATAATGAAATTGGCATTCGAAAACTTTTATCCAGTAAAAAAAAATTGAAATAATAATTTATTATGATTGTCAGGTCTTTTTTGAGTATTTCATTTTTTTTTTCAACCAATAAAACATATGTATATCATATAAAAATTTATATTGTATATTATACCTGTACGACTGCGGGCAAATCTGACGCATACGTTCCCGGTGGAATAGAACCGTTGACAGACATATTCTGTTTGTTGTCCTTATCGATGGCACCGTCTTTTTGCACATCTGGCGTTGGAATTCTAGGCCTTCCTCTGGCATTCATTTGTCCATTAATCTTGTTTGAACCTAAAAGTAAAGCGCACAATATTTATGATAATGTTTACAGTGTATACTGTACAATATAGATAGGTACCTACTTATATTATGTATACATACGACTAACTGATTTAAAATGTGGAACAGCAGACACATAACGGGAATGACAGCGGTGTTATAACCATTTCGATTCCTATAAKAATCCTTCTCGTATAGCTGGTAATCAAAATACCCTTATTGCATTCTACTTTTTTTTTAGATTATAACAAATAAGTGCTTCGTAACAAACTATCATTTACATATTAATRTGGTGCAATAATATGATAAATAAATCGTCGTATACTTATAGAAAATGACATGAAATAGAATCTTTATTTAAATTTAAAAACTGTACGTACATTTTAGACTTTAAATTGTATAACGATTGTTATATGTTAACTAGATCAAGTGTCGATCAAAAACGATAAGTAGTGCTTGCGACTTGTTTCCCTACGAGGGAAATTGTAACAAATTTCATAGATAAATGTTCTATAAAATAATTTGACTTTTATGAAACATTTTTTTTTAAACTCAACCCTCATTTTCCGATTTTTCTTAACCGTTGTGTGATTTAATATCAATTATATATTTATATGAATAAGCAATAACTTAATACCACTCGTATATATTTTTATACCTATCGGTTTTATTCATATGAACGGTTATATTATATTATAGGTATTGAATGCATTGTATCTTATAAGTGAATACAATTTTAACTAGGTAGTCGAATAATAATTATTGATTATTTTGATGTATTTTAATAATTATAATTACACAGAACTTTATTTTTTTATTACATTATCTTAACAGCATATAGGTTGTATGTTTAAAAATAATTAGAACTAACTTTTTTGTTTTTATAGAGCTATTGATGCCTCGATTCGATTTATTTTATGTAAAAATAATGTTAAAATGTGCATATTATGATCGTAAACAAAACTCTATGTGTCAACCTATAATGTTCTATACCAGTGGTGGCGTACCTTTTTTGGATCTAGTGCCGAATTTTTGCAATCAAGGGTTTGATAACTTTTTCACGTGCTCAGTGTTTGTAAGCACTAAATAGAAAATTTTAAATATAGTGATGATATAGTAACATAATCAATTTTGCATAGAACATATATAAATGCTGAAATGCTTATACTTTATTTTTCTCGATTTTAATTTTTCGCGTGCCATTGAACTTTGACAAAGGTGTCACGTTTGGCACGCGTGCCGTGAGTTAACCATCCTTGTCCTATACACATAGCGTTTGRACACTTGTAACTTTTAAGCTCACGGTTTATAAAGTATTAAGTATCAACGTCAAAATGTGCAGCACTATAAAACAAGTCTACAAAAAGGACAGCTCCACATTTCGTAATTATAACTTACTATAGGTAGGTACTTACCTACTATACCAAATTTATTTTGTTCGGTTTCTATAGCATTAACTCGAGTATTAGCGTGCCCGAGTAGACATATTATGTATATYCTACGAAATAATTGCAGTTTCGATTATTTTATCATAAATTTGACTTTGCGCAGAATTATAAATCGGGAATTAGTAATTATACCATAATTGTACCAGTTTTACATCACACGAATATAATAGAAGCGATATTTCATATAATTTGCAAGGAGTTCAACRAATCGGATAAATTGTTAATAATAATATTTATTTATTTTTTATTGTTACAGCATCAACTACAAGGTTATTAGCTTAATAATAATATTATTTATATTCGAATGAAGGAAAAATTGGTACTCTGTAAGACTGTGGCGTTAAGTAACTTTAAGACGAATCAAATACATCAAGACTAGCAGGTACCCGATGAGACTTAATCGATGGAAGTCCAAAGTTAAATAAAAGTTACCTATAGGTTATAATGTCCAYATATTCATCAGTCCTACACTGCWGCAGTGTCAACCTGAGTTCATATTTGGTCATTATAATATTATGTTATAAATCAACGTACAATTAATTGTTCAGTGTTCTTGTAAAAAACACTAAAATAATGCATCTGACTTGTAATTCATAACAAAATATTATTAATTTCTTCGAAAATAATGCGATTTAATTCTACATACCTATGCGTAATTCAAAACTATTCAAAACTTATATTATACATTGTCTATATAACTACCAGTAAAAGGCCTTTGAYATACTAACACCTTCGTAAAACGGATATTTGTAAAAAAAATATAATATGATGAACAAAAACAAATTCATTATATTACATACCTGCAGTATAGTAAAATTATGAACGGGTGTGTAGAAAACTGTTTTATTTTAATTTTAATATCCTACACGAAACACTTGGGCAAAGAATATGTTATTTGATTATTCGCCATATAAATGAATAACCAGAATAAAAAGTTTTAAAGTATAAATTTTAATAAATCACGTAGAGCAAATGTAAAATATACTCGTATATAGTTGAGTGGGTTGCATATAGAAACGTATTGATACTTATATATATATAAAGTAGAATTACAGATTGTGGCTTCGGATTTAAATTTAAATTTTCAAAATTCCTGTTCTGTAGTTTACTTGCCAACAATATAATATACATATATGTATCATTATACGTACACGCATTATGACGTAGGTACCTATCTAATAAAATAATAATAATAATAATTGACGCGATATTATTATATTCGCGTGTGGCGCAAAAAAAAAGTGAAAACTCGTAGTTCTACAGATTTATAGTAGGTACTTAAGCGATYACGACAATGATTCCGCGTAATTTTTGTTCTACAAAAACTCCCAGTAACATATAGGTACTATTAAGATTTGGCGATTGGTAAACAAGACAAGAAAGTTTTTATACCTAGGTTGCTAATATCTTTATATATGTGCAAACGATGATAGGGTTTTCTTGGCTAATGAAACAYGAYGATGACGCACTCGGGTAATAACTACCGATTTAAATCTTAAAAACCGTACGCGTTTTGTCGATTTCTGTTCAATAAAAACAAATACAAAYAAACGAGTTATTAACATGATGACCTTCAGGACGAATAATATGGCGTTTAAAAAAGCACGTGGAATATCAAATAACTAATTAGCGTTTTCTGATTTTTTTTTTTACGTTAACTTCGTCTACTATAGACACATTGTAATATGTCGTAAATAGTCGTATACAGGTAGGTAACTAAATAATAGCGAGATATTAGAATGATCGACACGCTATTAAATAAACACCGCCATAATATGTAGGCTAATAAAAAAAAAAATTGAATTTTAAATTGTAGACCGATTACACTYGTTTCATGATCACGAACTCGTAGGTATCTTAACGGGCTTTTTCCAAAGTTATTATAGTTTCGAATTCTTATTTTCTCGATTTATGTGTCTATTGMGTATAGGTATACACAACAGCGATCAAAACATAATTTATTGGCTTATAAAATAAATTGCCAGATCTAATATTGTCGAGTTCAAGTTATATAATATTATGATGAGATATATTTTACCGATTAAAAATAAATTGTGTCAACCAATTGAAAAAATGTATTTTTTTTTAAAGTTCAAGCCACCTGCAGCATAAATACCTTGGGTACTGCCACGTCGGCTTTTCATAGATTTCCTACCCCACAGTCGGTCGTACAGCGTTATCTTTTGCAAATGTGGTGTACTTCCGTTAAGGCCGTTGATGTGACTGTGACCGTTAATACCCGCAGACACGGGTAACCCATTTTCTGGACTTGAGTACACCGAATTGTGCCTGGTTCGATTGAACAGACCGCCAGACGAATAAGTGGTCGACGACGATCTAATCGARCCCACCCGATGTATTTGCCTCTGGAACCAATTTTTGCGACGTTCGGCCATTGGTGTGTCAACGCTTTCCTGTAAAAACAAAAAACCAGTAGCACAAATTAATATTTTTTTGGAAATTATGTATAAGTAAAAAATAAAAAAGTGGGTAGTGGGTAAGTGGTTGTCACTCTGCTGTAGGTAGATTACTATAATAGTGGGTTACTGTAATTGATAGTATTAAATTTGAATTCAATGATATAATATCATTGTATAGGAAAAACGATTCTGAGAGGAGACGGTTTGTCAGTCTAGGATATACTATACTTTATTAATTATATTGTTATTATTAAAAAAAAAAAAATGTATGTACCTATAAAATAATTTCCAAATTAATCAAATCAGATTCATTATGTAACCGCCTCAATTAGTCTTTCATAGAAAGTATGTACATTATACWATTTACTATATACTATTAATATAAAACAAGTCATTAATGACATTAACTATTAGTAATAGAATATAAAGTATACTCTATACATTTAAGTAACCACAAATTATATTTATAAATTGCAACAATATAACTAAAATTGTTATTCTTAGTTATTTAATATGTAATTTCATCCAAATTTGAACTTAAAATAACTATAAAAAAAAACTGTGTTTGTATATAGTTTTTAGATTTTTTTTGCAGCAGAATTAACTACTTACGTAGAACCTTGTTTTAAATTTTCTATCCTTACCTAGCTAATTAGCTATACAATGTAAAAGTTTTATACATTTTTAACAACTAAAGAATTTGTAAATTTTCAATTAAATAAATCTTGTCAAAATTTGAACTTTAAATATAGTTATAAAAAAAAAAAAAAAACGTGCCTATGTATTTTTATATTTTCCAACTGCTATATTATTATAAACATATGGGGAACCTTGTATTAAATTTTCAAGTTTTATGACCCAATGAATAAAATTTTATGGACATTTATGGAATAAAAATCTAAAAAAAAGCGGGTAAGTGGGTATCGCTCTGCTGTACATAAGGGGGTGGGGYGGACCTCTGACTAGGGTAGGTTAAATTTGAATGCAATGATAGGTATCATTGTATACGAAAAACGATTCTGAACGGAGACTGTTTATCTGTCTAGGATATATTATAGATTATTAAAAATTTTCAAATCTAAGATTTAAAAAGAACATTTTTTATGAATTTCTAGCTTAAAA